GAAATGATTTATATTTCTCCAATTGCCCACTGACATAAATCTCCAAAACAAATACATACTTTCTTTTTTGTATTCTACAGTGTTTGGAATGATCATTACCATCGGACAGTCTATTGTCTATGTAATGACTGGAATGTATGGAGACCCATCTGAGATGGGTGCTGGTATCTGCTTGCTTATCACAATTCAGGTAATTCCTAGTCCTCTCTACTTATTCTTCCTCTGAAAGAATCAAAAAATCAGCCTTACGGACTGTCTGCCTCACATGCAGAGAAAAAAGATTGAAGTGTGCCTGCTTCCTCATATATATAGTCTTTCCTTATCTTGTAGTACAAGTTAATTTTTTAACAAAAATTAAAAAGGGATGGGACTAATGCTGTATTTCTTTTTTTACTGCAGCTTTTTGTTGCTGGATTGATAGTTCTGCTGTTGGATGAGCTCCTGCAGAAAGGATATGGTCTTGGTTCTGGCATCTCTCTCTTCATTGCTACCAATATCTGTGAGACTATTGTGTGGAAGGCATTCAGCCCCACCACGGTGAACACAGGGCGAGGTAATATGGCATAGTCCATTTTCTTTGCTTGCATTAGGATTGAATTATTTATCAAATGAAACATAAAAAGAACAAGTAGCTTCCACCCGTATTCTTTAAAATTCCAACTCTTTACATTCTTATATAGAATAGTACAATGATCATTTAAAATATAAAAATGTCAGTTGTAGAAGTCAAGGCAAAATCCTTTTTTTGCACTATGTTAACTTAAATGGCAAATGCTGTTACTGTCATCTTAACTATGTAGTTGCCGTGTAGTGAATCTTGTTAATACAGCGAGTGCTCCTATGCAAGGTGCAAGTACAAAGACATTTCTTTTTAATTTTGTAGTATCTCGCACGGATATTTCCTCGACTTGAATTTATTACAGTACCTCTGTTAAAACTCGATAATGGTAGACTGCTGTTGTATTACGGCTGCTGCCCAACTTCCTGGCAAATATCATCTGTTTCTTTCTGCTCCTTGCACGTATTATTCTTTGCCCCAAAGACCTCATCCTCCAAACCTGACAGGAGGTGATCTTGTTTGCTGCTGTATAGTAGAAAACATAAGTGAGGTTATCACATTTTCTGTAATACAAACAATAACTAGTGTCTCACCATGAATGATACTAGAAAGTATGCTGCCTCCCTCCCTCATTTAATTTAATTTTTTTAAATTGAGAAAGAACTTGGTGAATGTCAGTGTTTCTAGAGACCATTAAAGTTATCCCATTTGATTGTTGGGTTGTGATTTAGTTTCTAGGCCACCACAGGGGGATTAAAAAAAAAAAAAAATCTTGGAAATAACATAGCTAATACAAAGGATGACAGTAGTAAAAGTCTGAGAGTATGCTCAAGATGAAAAAGACTTGGAGAAATCCCATCTGAATCCGTAGTTCAGAAGTGTGCCTAATGAGACAAAGCAATGAAGTTTGGAGATAATCACAGCACACCTAACTTGGTTTTTCTTTTCCTTTCCAAGGCATGGAATTTGAGGGAGCCATCATTGCTCTGTTCCATCTTCTGGCTACTCGTACAGACAAAGTCAGAGCTCTTCGTGAGGCCTTTTACCGTCAGAATCTCCCCAACCTTATGAATCTGATTGCCACCATCTTTGTCTTTGCTATTGTAATTTATTTCCAGGTCAGTTGGAATAAAGAGGACTGTAAAATGGTTTGTGTGGAAGTAGATCTGTAATCTGCTTCCTTCTACAGGAAACTATATTTTCACTTTCTAGTGCCTTCAGAAGACTCATTTTCGTACCTGCAACATCTGGATGTTTGTTTAACACTAGCTTCACTTAATCAATTTCCACACTTACTATAGCCACACAAAAGACCTGACACCTACTTTGGTCTCTGGAAAAAAAACAGATGAATGTGTACACGTAATCTTGCCTAACCCAAATGCTATTGCTTTTTGCTGCAAAATACTTTAAAGTCTTTAAGCCTGTATGTCTCTTACTGTTTGTTGCAGCAAAATGCTGAAAAATACAGAAAATGTAATGTTTCTTTTCTTGGATGCTATGTTCAGTCTTCTTGAAACTTCAGATTTCTTCTGATGTCTGTCTTTCATACCTTCTTATATGTGTGAGTTTAGAGAACCCTGCAGGCTTCCAGGCCCTTTGCAGAAGTGTTTGTGTGGATAACCCTCTGGGTAGAGTATATGTACTTGTACAAAATGATAGCAGGTTGGTTTGGTTTTTTTTTTTTTTTGTTGCTGTCAAGGCCTTGCACTTGCAATTTATGACCTGTGGTATGGGTTCATGTCCAGATGTAATGGGGGACTTTCTTTTGAAAACTTTTCAGGGCTTCAGAGTGGATCTTCCTATCAAATCTGCTCGCTACCGTGGCCAGTACAACACCTACCCTATCAAGCTGTTCTACACTTCCAACATTCCCATTATTCTTCAGTCTGCCCTGGTGTCAAACTTGTATGTCATCTCCCAGATGCTTTCTGCTCGCTTCAGTGGCAACTTACTGGTTAGCCTGTTGGGCACTTGGTCTGTGAGTATTCCTTCTAATCTTGCATACAGCTTTATAAGAGCACCATTAAAGTGCATGGTTGAAGAGATGGTCTCTCTAAATATTAAGGCACACTTCTACAGGCGGTCATGTACACTGAAACTCCTAAATTAGTAATTTGTTTAAATTAATGGTAGAGTATGAGACCTGCTGTGATGAGTGTAGATGTTAAGTCTCCATTTACCTTTTGCCTTGGGCTGTTCTTTACTGCCCTAGGTATTTTTGCTGTTCTCTACTGTATTCCATTTCCACTTTAGAAACTGCTTGTAATAGTAAAGCTTCATCTTTGTGTGATGCTGTAGTGGTAATGATACACAGTGGTGTGAAGGTGATATAAACACAGGCTTAGCTTAAAGGCTAAGAAATAGTGGGGAAGTTGGTGACTGGTTGTTTCCTTCTTCTAGGACACGTCATCTGGAGGCCCCGCTCGTGCCTATCCAGTTGGTGGACTTTGTTATTATCTGTCACCTCCAGAGTCCTTTTCTTCAGTGTTAGAAGACCCTGTACATGCAGTTGTTTATATTGTATTTATGTTGGGCTCCTGTGCTTTCTTCTCGAAGACATGGATTGAAGTCTCTGGCTCCTCTGCCAAAGATGTAAGTTTAAAATGATAAATTATGTAAGCTGACATGATGAAATCAGATGGGCTCTTGTCAGAATAAGGGACTTTCTTTTGAAATAGCTATTATGCTGGTAATCTTGTTAGTCGCTATTTATACAAACGATAAATATCACCGTGTCTTTTTTGTAAGTGGGGAGGAGGAGGGCAGAATAAGGGTAATTTTTTTCCCTGTTTTCTTTACTGCTTTTTCAAAAACAACAACAAAAATCAAATAATTGCTTTCATTGGCATTAGGAAACTTTGAACATTGCTGTGTGACATCTGAGCAGTGTGAGGGCAGGCAAGGTAACAGGAAAGGTAGAAACTCTTTCAGTGCCAAATAACAGATGCACCATGCGCAAGGCAGTCGCCACTTAAGAACTTGCAGGTAAAGCTTGAATGCCCATGCCTGGCATAGAGACTTCTTAACTCTTTTTGGGGAAGATTAACTAGAGGTGGTTACTTTTAACTTGAGAATGCTGATAACAGAGAATATAGTGCAGTGCATTAATGTACCTGAACCTAGCTTCTCAGAATTTCCATTTGCTACAGGATATTTGATACTCAGCAACTATATCATTCTGAAATTGGAATTGGAAAACAAGATGGAAAATAGTTGTCATTGTGGTGTGTTTGTATTGTGTGGTTTTGGGTAGGAAATCATGTTTGGCAGCCATATGGAATGGTTTAATCCATTCTTTAACAAATATGTAATAGTTACACAGTTACTGTAACAGCGTGAGCACTCTCTTGTTTTGGACTTGCATCTAGCTGCTTGTTGTCAGGCGTGCAGGGAGGCACTCGCTGCCATGTATAGCCAGATTTTTATTTCAGTATTAACCAACATACAGCTTTTAACACTTTAATATACTTTCCTGATACTGAATAAAATTATTTTAAGTTCATGTAAACAAGGTCAGAAATAAGAATTGATAAATCATTACTTAAATGTTCACTATATAGTGGGAAACTGGTGGCTTAATCATCTGAAAGTGTGTTTTCTCAGTACATTAGATTCAGTGACAAGCACCTTCAGAAGTTCCCATGCTAGAGTTTCAGTTTCCCTCAGTTGTTAGTAAAATGTTTGCAGGGCTCTATTGTAACCCTGTACAATTGCAGAAATCCTATTTAAGAATAATGTTCCAAGAAGGGATTGTTTCTAAGTCATATAGTTTCTAATATGGCCCCACAAATAAATAGTTAGCTCAACTGAATGTGGGAAACTGGAGTGGACACTTCATAGGATGGTTTTGCTAACATCTACTAAACCCTTACCAGAAGAAGGGTAGGTGGCAAAATGGGGATTAAATTATGTGTATGAGAGCCTACCAATTTCCAGATTTTCCTTTTCTCAGTAGGACTAGGATTATCCAAAAGGCTTTGCATAATTGACAGTGTGGAAAGGTGCCTGTGACTACAATCTATCTGAAGTTAAAATACTGGATGTTTTAAACTTGTATATAAAAAACCAAAACCCAAAACAATAAAAAAGAAACCCAAACCCACCATCATTTACTGAAATGTCTTGCTTCTGTTTTCCCATAGTACTAAGTTCTGTGGCTTTGGCAAATGATACTAAACTTACTTGCTCCATTCCTTGATTCAATACAGGTTGCCAAACAATTGAAAGAACAACAAATGGTAATGCGAGGCCACAGAGAAACTTCAATGGTACATGAACTAAACAGGTGAGCTACACATTTCACAGGCTGTTTATGCAAAGTGTTATGGGGAAACGTGTGGCAGTTTGCTTTGACTGCCATTTTCTAGATCCTAGAACACAGATGTTCTTTCAGCTTCAGTGTTACATGCATGAGACAGACTATTGTCTCATTAATGGAAGACTTGTACAGTACATCATATTCTTGCCTTACAAGTAGAGAAATGTGCCTTAAATTCTGGAGCTTGTATTTTCCTGTTACATTTTTTCATTTTTATACATTTTATAGGATAGATAATAATGAGCATTTGAGTGTACTTTACTACTTCAAACTGATGCACAAGTATTTTTTTTATTGTAATTTTTAATGTGTTGTTATGTCTTGAGCACTGTTTTCATGCAGACCTTGCTTCTAAAACAAGTAGTTACTTAAATCTACTAGGTGCAGAGGTAGACAGGTGTTGGTCTCTAGGTTTTCTAATTGCAGGGTAGGTCCTGTGCAGCCTTCATGTTACAGAAATGTTATCATAACTTCAGATTTCAGTCTACTGCAAATGACTTGAAGAGCTAGTAGCCATAAGCTTAATCTTTGTGCTTAATTGCACAGTAGACTGTAATAGCTTGTTGTCTGAGTTTAGCATTTTTTTCCCCTCCAGTTAGGTTGAGCTTTTTATTTCCTTACCTAGTATATTGGCACTGTTGCATGTTCCTTATCTTGGATTGTAGACCCGTGAGAGAAGAGAGTATTCTGCCATTGACTTTTTTCCATTTGTGTAGTTTCATTCTTGGTTTTTTTAACCACCTGGTTAGATTATCTTCATAGTGTTCTTTCTGTTCTCAGTGGGATTGGTTTTCTAGGAAAACAACCTGCTTCTGATTTAGATACTTTCCATAGATCCCATATACCACCCACCCTAGTGTATTTGTTAATATCCTGAGCAAACTCTAATGGCACATTTCTATTCTCATTTTGTGTTTTACAGGTACATCCCTACAGCTGCTGCATTTGGTGGTCTCTGTATTGGCGCCCTCTCTGTGTTGGCAGACTTCCTTGGGGCAATTGGGTCTGGAACTGGAATTTTGCTCGCTGTCACTATCATTTATCAGTACTTTGAAATTTTTGTAAAGGAACAGAGTGAAGTTGGCAGTATGGGAGCTCTTCTTTTCTAAACCTAGCTCCTCATGGACCTGGGAAAGAGGGGACGAACATTCTCACAATATAGCCAGTCAGGTGAAAAGAAGTAATGTAAACTTGATAATGTCATTCTATAGGAACACGTATTTTAATAATGTTTCCAAAGCGCATTCCCTTATGTTCAAACTTTTCTAGCATACTGTTTGCATTTTATAAATTGATGAGGAAAAATGTGCAAAAAAAATTTTTTTTAAGAAAATTATTTTTTAATTAGGTGTTAGGAAAATCAGCTTTCTGAATTGGATTTAGTTCAATGACTCTTGAAATTTTTTTGAGCCCCTTTCAAATTTAGTATACCTGAAGCCTTTACAGGTTTTAATAAATGTTTGTTAATGAATGTTTGGAAGGGATTTTTTTCCATTTAACTTGTTTTTGCATCTGCTTTGCAGTAGTGTTGAGGAAAAAAATCTCCTTCTAATGCTCAAGTTCCGTAATTATGGTTGTAAGCACAAGCAGTGTTTAATATGTTCCGTTTTGTGTTTGGGGTTTTTTTCAGTATGGCAGATTTGGAAGGCAGTTATTTCTTTTTACTGAATTGTATCTCTAATTCCAAATGTTTTGTCTTGTAATTACTATGCTAGACCTTGTCAGATGTTGAATATTGGCTTGAGATTTGTCAAGTTTCTGTGTAAGACAGGAGTGCGTTCTTTCCCACCACCCCTCCTCCATAAGCAGAAAACTCGGGTCAATCTAGATTCCGCCGAGTCTGTGCCTAAGGAGTTGCAACTTTGAAACCTGATCATACTGGCAGCTTTGTAAAACCTTCTAGTTAGTTTTCATTGCCATTAGTGATAGTATTTCTAGTCCTGATGCTAGCTGAAAGAAATGGATGTTATGGCTGCTTAGATGCAAATCTGCTTGTGCTCTTTGCTAAAGCTAAGTTTCTCTCACTGATAATAAATTCTGGTCTTGCAGCAATCAGGATGTTAGCTGACTACTCATATCTAGTGAACTTTGAGTCTCATTACCACAAAGGAGTGTGAAAAGAATGTATGTTACTTGTCTGTTTCTATAGATCTAGATATGAGACCCTTGTCAGATAACTCCTGTAAGTTGCTTATGTAGAAGGCTTTTCCATCCTGTAATCTAATTGACTTGAATGGTGCATAGAAAAGTACTTCTTCAGAATGTATTGGGATTCCTCCTTTTTTCTGAAGATCACACCTTCAAATTGGAGAAGTTACAGTAAAAGGCTTTAATGGACCAGAATAATAGTTGATTTTCCATTTTAATTTAGATTGTCAGTACTAATCAGGTGCCTAGGACCAAATGCAAATATTTGTGTAGAAGTCTTGTAAATACGCTTTTCCTCAATCAGTATTGGACAACGTGGAAACCAGAATGAGGAGTTATAATGCTGGAATGTTTCTCTACACTGCATCAATGTGCATTCTGTGCATTTCTGCATGTTGGGCTGACAGTATATGAATTACTGTTTCTGCTTGGAGCGATGGGACTCTGTTACGTACCCAAGGAGCACAGATGACATCCAGAAGCCCTTGTTAATGCACTGAGCTCAAATACCAAATGAGTGAGAAATCGGCAAATTTGGAATGAGATACATCTATCAATAAAAGTGAAACTCCTGGGGTGAGAATCACAATTGGAAAAGGAACAAAAGTATTAGGATAAAGTATCCGTGAAATGCTCACTTCACACTACGTTCTAATTTTTCTGTCTTTCATAAAGTACTAGTATGCCACAGCACAATTTTCATGTGAAGTAAGGGACAGTTAAAAAGTGACTTTACAAGGAGAGGGAAATAGCGTGGTATGGGTATTCTGCTTTGGGGATTTTTTTTTGTTGTTTTCCAGGAAGCCTAATACAAATTTTCTTTTGAAATAAAAAGGACTCCACTTCTGGACATGCAGCTCTGGCTGGGCTGGAGCTGTACTTGTATTTCTGGTCATATAATCTGTGAACTGGTTGCAGTTTAGACCGTAAGCTCTTCAGTGTCTAAGCAGCACTTGTTCTGTGCATCTGTTGTGGTTTCTTTTTTTTTTTTTTTTTGTCTAGTGGTGAAATCTTTGTCTACTATCAAGCAGCTATGTCCTCGAAGCAGGACCTGCTGATCATACAGAGGGTGTTCACAAAAAGAAATAATGCCTAAATAATCTGCTTTATAATGAAATAAAGTACATCTTTGGAGCTAACACTTGGCTTTCGGTGCTTTCAATACTGTTACAATTCTAACACTTGTGGAATAACGTTACCTGCCTACGGGACTGTGATCCCTCTCAAAACAGCTGTTTAGAGTGTCAGTGTAAAATAAAGACAAATTGTATTTGCTCCAAGGTCTTCTCTCAACAGTAGGTTGCCAAAATAACAGAACCTTAACTATTCCTCTGGGCTTTCCTGTTCAGAAGAGTTGCAACTCAAAAGGCGCTGCACAAGTAGATAGTGGGAGAGTGAAGTAATGATGCATCAGTTTAACAAAAACTATCTCCAATACGAAATACAGTGCTGATCTTTCTATAGCATGATAGTAGTAGCAGGAGATTAATTGAAACAACAAAACTTGAAGCTGATGATATTCCCAATATTGTTTTGCCCTCTGAGTTTTTAAACTTAACTTGGAGTAAGGAAAAATCTTATCTTCCTCCTGAATAGAAATATACTAGCACTTAAAAGCAAATTTATTTAAAATACTGGTACTGGATGCAAGAAGTTTGGCTAAGATTTTGGTTGTGTATTAAGTAGTTTTAAGCAACAGCTTGATTTCTCCCTTGCTTTTTTATTTCTCCCCAGGAAACTTGTATTAATAACTGTGGTTGCTGTAGGAATATTATGTGATCACACATATGATCACAGAAGTAATTGAAGTCACTGTAGATATGGTGAGTTATCCGCAAGACGGCTAGGTGACACCAAGGCAAAGTCTGAGACCCTCTTTATGCTGGTAGTTCTTTAACTGCAAAATTCTTTGCATAGCCTTTTCTTCTGCGCTGTAGATACCATGTGAAAGCTTATGCCATATCATTTAAGTGCTGGGTGTTTGATTTTTGTCCCTGTCACTATTGTTCAGGAAGTGTTAAAAATCATCTGATTTATTCTAGTTCACTTATTCCTAGGGCCTATCTCCTTATAATTTTGAGATGGCAAACAAAGGGACTTTTTTTCCTAATTCCTCAAATGTTTTGTTTGTTGTTGGGGTTTTTTGTTTTTAAAAAAAAAAATCCTTTTGGCTGCAACTATAAAGGTTGTGGCTTTACTCTGTGAAATGTTCCATGGCTGTGCTCCCTTGATTTCTTCTGGGGATAACCCTGTCCTTGTACTGTAAACAGACTGTGATTTCTGAAATAGATTTCTCAGCCAGCTTTTGGTAAAGGAGGAAACAGAGTGGCCTACTAACTGCTTTTCCTAATTGTTCTCTCTCGCAGCAAGGAATAATAAGCTTTAGGTGGCCTTCAATTTTATCACAGCTTTGGGGAGTTTCACGCAGGGTTTTGTAAGCTGTTGTTTGCTTACCGACATGGTGTGACACAACTGACAGGTCCTCAATCAGCCCTTGCTGCCTGGAATACTAAAACTGCTTCCTGATGTATCGCTGTGTGCTGAATGAGTGCTCAAGTCTTTCCCACGGCGAGTGCACATCTTTACAAATACATGATAGCTGCAGGGTGTTATCACTGGTAGAGAAGAGTGCTTTCAGGAAAAGTGTGCAGGGGAGGGAGACCAGTGACATTTTTGAAACTCTGTTTTACTTGGTATGCGGCTCGGACGGCCTGCCACCTCCCTTTCTCTTGCTGCTCCCTCTGCCAGCTTTCTGACATGAAACCCCAGCCTTCGCCGGCTTCCTGCCTAAAAAGGTCACAGTTTGAACCGCAGCCAGCGGCGAGCGGCACTGCTGGCACCCTCCCAGCTGTGCAGGGAGATGTGCAGGTGTTCAAACAATGCCTGCTTGTTTAGGGGGGCCTGGGCCTGTGAAACACGGGCCCCTCCAGCTTCGCCAAACCTTCCCAAAGGACAGGCGCCAGCACGCCAAAGGGGAGCGTTTGCCCGCCTGGTGGCAATGTTACACTGCAATTCAAGGCATCAGGTTCAAGGCAATTTGGATCGGTGAAACACGTATTAAATCTGTTCCAAATGTGCGTTCGTTCTTTTCCTTTGCTGCTACTCTGATGGGTGTCGTACAATGTAAAAAGTTGGGAACAGAGTTCGCCAATATTTATTTGTACTTGCTAGACTCGGCGCCAGGATTGAGGTTGTTTTAAGCTGAAATGCTGAAAATTATCATCTTCTCCTTTTAGAGAGTTTATAATACTTATAATATTTTCTAATATTTTTCAAGCATGATAGGTGTGAAGGGGCGGTTGCTGTTACAGCCACTTAGTCTGCTGAATATTGCTACACAATTTAAGCCTAGACTGAGACAGTCTATGGGATTGGAAAGAAGACAAAAAAAGAAGCATTTAAAACCAAAATCAATATTCTAAGCTGGGGACCTAATTAGTCAGCTAGACTTTAAGCTGCTGTTTTATAATGTGCTGCTGGATGGATCTGCTAAAATTGAAACACTTCTGTGGGCCAGGTTCTAGCAATCCTCTGGCTATTGCCAATGTGATGCTAGCCAAGCTGGCAGCGCTTGGCAGAAAGGAAATACCCTGACAATTGGCACCTCCTTTGGCAGCTGTATCAGAGGGGCTAGAGACTGAATGAGCGCAGACATGATACACTTTGTCATCGCAGAGTGGGCTGTCAAGGTCAGAGATGGGATGCCTGCTCTGAGGTATTTCTTGTCAGAGAACAAGATGACTGGGCCAGTCAATTTTCCAGCAATATGAATACCTGAGAACTTGAAATACAGGGAACAAGTAAAACAGAAAAAGAGTAAGGACATAAATTTTTAAAAAGCTGTTTCAGACATTTTTGTATTGCTTTGGAGAAAATCAGGATACATGACACGTACAAAATCCCAGATTCCCCTTCTTACATATTAAGGCTAAAATGGATGGTTCCAAAAATCGCGTGAGCACTGTTGGGGGAATATTAGCTATCTGAAATCTGAGATGAGTATTATCCACTTTAATCTTCAGCATATCTTTAGCCATTTGATGTTCCTACAGCTCTGCTGTGTCTCTTCTGTATACCTGTGGTGTGAAGCTTTATAAAAGAAAAAGGCAGCTCCAGACAAACGGGAGCAGGAAACAGTGAGCAGAGCATTTTACATGGTGAACTTCACCATGTAAGTGTGAATTTTCTTTTTGTTTAAATAGCTTTATCTTTTGGCAATGCAAGAACAAGGAATTGTTGCTGCTGCTGGATTCCCAAGGGCTGCAGA